TCACTACCGAAGGAGCCTAGTCCCACCTATAGTCCAGCGAGGAACATCTCAGGTCCTTCGAGCATCAACGCACCTCGGAGTACGCCCAGGAGTTTGAACGGAACCGGGGGTCGTACCAACTCACTCGCCGCGTCCAGTGCATCAGCGTATGCACCGAACGCAAACAGTGCGCCCGACTCATACTTTCCCGCGCAGACCCTCCGAGACGGCAATGGAAGAACAAGATCTGTCAGCAAGACGGTCGAACTTGAGATCGATGCTAGCATGCTTTACGACTACTACCGCATGTACAATGTACTCACCATCGACGTACGGGACAGGACAGACTTCGACGCAGGGCACATCTTTGTGCGTAACATCATGTGCATAGAGCCATTGACGTTGCGCGATGGCGACTCCGCCGAACAGCTTCTAGACCGTCTCATCATATCTCCAGACGAGGAACAGGACATGTTCGACAAGAGAGCCGACTTCGACGTGGTTGTATACTACGATGAGTCGACAAAGAACATCGACTTCATGCATAGACACAATCGATCTGATAGCGAGATTGCGCTGAAGCGGTTATTCGACACCCTACACGAGTTCAACGCGGACAAACCGCTCAGGCGACCTCCGGTTCTTCTCAAAGGCGGTCTCGACGCTTGGATGGACCTGGTGGGCCCCCAGGCTTTGAAGACGTCGAACACTGCTGGACAAGTGGCCGCTGGCCCGACGCGGGCTCGGGCTATCCGACGATCGCCAGCTGCCAGCCATATCGCGAGGAACAATACGCAGAGAAGGTCGAAGCGCGAATACGTTCCCATGGACCAAGAAGAGCAGCAACAGTGGCTGGAAGAAGCTCGAAAGGGGCGTGCTGCAGTTGAAGTGCCTCCGGCAGATGGTGAAGAGGAAGATGAACCCACACAGGATTTCTACCGTTCGACAGAAGAGTTCCTACGTCGATACCCCGATGTTGAAGCCGAGCAGTCATCCATGATGTACCCGTCCAAGTTCCAGTCGACCAACCAATACGTCGCACCTGCCATACCTGTTGCACCTTCTCGTCCGCCGCCTTCTGTTCCTAGGGTGAGCTACAGTGGCGTACACGATCGGCAAGAACAGAACCGCAATGTCGTCTACAACGGACAACCGCAGTTTAGTAACCTGAGGCTACATAGGACGGGCCTGCTGAACTTTGGTGTCACGTGCTACATGAACTCGGTGGTGCAGTGTCTCAGTGGGCATCTATTGCTTTCGGACCTGTTCCTCACCGGACGATATCAGCGGGACCTCCAGCGAGATAACTGGAAAGGAACGAAGGGGATTTTGCCGGAGGCGTACGCGACGCTGTTGTCCAATTTGTACAAGGGCGATGTCACGTCCGTGCGCCCCAGCACATTCAGGGTAAGTCAAAAGTGAGAACAGAGAATAGGCATTGCTAACTTTGAACAGCGTATATGCGGACACTTCAACTCGCAGTGGGGCATTGATGAGCAGCAAGACGCCAAGGAGTTCCTGGAATTCGTTTTGGACTACATGCACGAAGACTTGAACCTAACCTGGAACAAGCCGCCGCTTAAGCCACTTTCGGACCAGGAAGAGTTGCAACGAGAAAGATTTCCCCGCCAGTATTCAGCAATGATTGAATGGCGGAGATACCAACACCGGGACATGTCCGTCATTGGTGGTCTGTTCGCCGGTCAGCACGCCTCGCAGCTTACATGCCAGACATGCGGCGTGACAAGTACAACGTACGAAGCCTTCTGGAGTATCAGCGTCGAGATTCCCCGAGACGGCGAATGCGATCTACGCCACTGTCTAAACTCATACTGCGCACCAGAGCGTCTAGCAGGAGACGAACTATGGCGTTGCCCTCGCTGCAAGAAAGACCGCGAAGCCGTAAAGAAAATCACCATCACCCGCGCCCCCGACACCCTCGTCATCCACTTCAAACGCTTCAGCGCCTCGCGCACGGAAAGCGCGCGGAAAGTCCGGACGCCTGTTAACTTCCCGCTCCAACGCCTCGACATGGGTCCCTTTGTCGAGCCACCCATGACGCCAGAGCAAGAAAGATATGTGTCGGAAAAGGCCCGAGATGGACCCGCGCAACTTGCTGGCGTGAAGAGCGATCCTACTATGAATGGGCCGTATGTCTACAACGCCTACGCTGTTATCTGGCATATCGGTGCTACCCTCGGAAGCGGACATTACATCGCGTTCGTCAAGGACAAGTCTAGGGGATGTTGGCGTAGTTTCAACGATGATAAGATTACGGACTTCGATCCCGGGAATCTTCCGCCGCACAACCGTCTGCAGAATGAGAAGGCGTATATTGTTTTCTATGAGAGGGAGAGGGTTGCTGGTGGTGCCTTTTAGCAACACACATGTTGATAACACGTCCAGCGCGTTTGGTTGAGTGTTTACACGTTATTTGAATTTTGGTGCTGCATCTTGGGAAGTTCGGGTAGCGACAGTCTGGTTAAGATTATACTTTGCGCGTGCGACGAATTATGTCTCTGGGACGGACGGGGCATTGCATACTTGGCGTTGGGATTATATACCTTGTCGAATATCATTCCGTTGAGACGCACCAGTTGGTTGTTGCGTTCGTGTGTAAACTTGTTGTGATGTTTGCGACACGAACTCTAGCTACCTTAATGTCATAGTTCAGGTCGTCGTGAGGCTGACAGCCGATGATCGGGCGGCAGGGATGGTGAGGGCCGAACATTTTTTGTGCGATAAGATAAGGTTTCTGACTCTCCACACGTCGTTCCCCAGGCGCCGCAACCCCTCTTCAATTGACTCTTCTTGACTCTTTCTTCTCACTTTCTATACCCTTTTATACACAAACACTTGCAGATATGTCAAAGGGACGCGTTTGCCTTGCTTACTCTGGTGAGTACATTTACAACTGACAATTCCTGGCCAACCGGGTTCACTTGCGTTCACCTGCGTCTCACTGCGTTCATCTTGCTCAGTGCCAACAAACTAACCACTCATTAGGCGGCCTCGACACCTCCACGATCCTGAAATGGCTCATCGGTACGTCAGAAGCACATTGAGACACACCTCACAATCTAACGCGTAGATAAAGAGGAGAACTATGAGGTCGTGTGCTTCCTCGCCAACGTCGGCCAGGAAGAGCCGTGGGACGAGGTGGAGAAGAAGGCGCTCAAGATCGGCGCGAAGAAGATGGTCATCCTAGACCTGCAGAAGGAATTCGTCGAGGAGCTCTGCTTCCGCGCCGTCCAGTGCAACGCCTCGTACGAAGGCCGCTACCTCCTCGGCACCTCGCTGGCCCGCCCCGTCATCGCCCGCGCACAGATCCGCGTCGCACAGCAAGAAGGCTGTGGGTTCGTCTCGCACGGCTGCACGGGCAAGGGCAACGACCAGGTCCGCTTCGAGCTGGCTTTCTACACACTTCAGCCTACTATCAAGGTTATTGCGCCGTGGAGGCTGCCGGAGTTCTGCGACCGCTTCAAGGGCAGGCAGGATCTGCTGGACTATGCTGAGAAGCATGGTATTCCGGTTACGTCTACCAAGGCGAAGCCCTGGTCTATGGACGCCAACTTGGCTCACTGCAGTTACGAGGCCGGTAAGACATCACATATCTAGACTGTATGCCTGAGACTAACAACCCAGGCATCCTCGAGGACCCCGACGTGTCTCCCCCAGACGACATGTGGACCATGACCGACTCCCCGCTCAACGCCCCCAACGAACCCACCGACATAACCGTCCACTTCGAAAAGGGCATCCCCATCAAACTCACCACCCCCTCGCAGACCTACACCGACTCCGTCGAGCTCTTCACCGCGCTCAACAAACTCGGCTTCACCCACGGCATCGGCCGCATCGACATCGTCGAGAACCGTTTCATCGGCCTAAAATCGCGCGGCTGCTACGACTCGCCCGCCATGACCATCCTCCGCCTCGCCCATCTCGATCTCGAGGGCCTCGTCATGGACGCCCAGGTGCGCAACCTGCGTGACCAGTTCGTGTCGCACAACTGGAGCTACCAGCTCTACAACGGCATGTACTTCTCGCCCGAACGCGAGTTCATCGAGAACAGTCTGCTCTTCTCCCAGCGCAGGGTCAACGGCGAGGTCAGGTTGAAGCTGTACAAGGGTAACGCGTATGTGCTTGGTCGGTCCAGTCAGACGGAGAAGCTGTACTCTGAGGAGGAGGCTAGTATGGATACGTTGGATAACTTTAGTCCTATGGATACTACGGGCTTTATTGCTATTCAGAGCATTCGGTGAGTTTAGACGTCTAGTCCTTGGAAGGTGTATGGATGGTTTGTGGATGGTTTGCTAACATAAGGCAGTCTCAAGAAGTACGGGCTCCAGAAGGCGGAGGAGGGCGAGAACATGTCGAGGGCTTAGAAGGCTTCGTCTGATATGCATACTACGTTGACGTACTGGCGGAGGTGGCTTCATCGTGAGAATATGCATGATCAGGTTACTTATGCGAGTCCTGAGGTTACGCCCAAGGGGAAGTCAGGTTAGTATCTGGGAAATGCGACATCATGGCTATGGAAAGGATGATGAGATGAATAAAATAGATACCAATGATAAAAGTCATACTACTAATCTGACCATGTGGATGACGTGTTGTTTGGTAACGAGAGATCGACTGAGCCTGTTGTCACAGAGCATCCATACCGTCGACATAGCTCAGCTGAAGCTACCCCGATATTCTCATTCGCTCTCCAACGTGTACATGAGCAATGTCCAATATACTGCAACAGCCTCATTGGCTAACGCGACTGCCAAGCACTAATTTCGGAATGCGGGTTGCAGCTCTTCCGAGCGTTCCGATGTCGCTCGCTACCGCTGATGTTGTACCTCACACTCAGGGTTCGCCATTAGGTTATTGCATGTTCGTCAGCTCTTCCCATCCATCACTGTTGCGTTGCGCCGTCCCCTTGCTGATTTCTCTTTCTCCCTCCCTCCGTCAATCTCATCCACGACCCCTTCCTCCTGAGTCCTGAGTCCTCATGCGTCCATAGTTCCTTCTCATCCATCCCCTCTTCCGTCCGCATTCCCGTCCTCACCCTCACTCACTCTCTTCTCTTCCCTTCGTTGCGCCTCAACCCATTCCTCAGTCGTTGCGTAGGAGACAGGGTATGTTGCCCCGCTTCGCGGCCGTGCCGTCGGTCGAGGCTGCTGCACGACGAAATTCTCGACGTAGCCCGGCGCATACATCGTACCCGGTTGCTGTACGAAATTGTTGTTGACGGAGCCTGGCGCGTATATCGGGCCTGCCTGCTGCATGACGACGTTGTTGACGGGTCCTGGCGCGTACATCGGGCCCGGCTGGAACGTAGGCTGGAAATGCGCCTGCTGTGGAGCATACATGGTCGGCGCATATGGACTTTGGTAAGCCCCAGCGACATTGTAGCCGGCATGGGTAGGCTCGCGAAGGGGTTGCTGGTAACTGCGAGCAGGAGCAGGAGCGGGATACCGATGAAAGATCGGACGTGAAGCCATCTGGTTAAGGCTGTACGATCCATCCGACATATCCCCGGATGAATGCAACAAGAATTTCTGGAAGTCCAAAAAGTCGGACTGGTATTGGGCGTCCCCGCCATTCTCGTCAGGCACCCCATCCTGAAATGCTTCTAGGTTCAGTCCAGCCTCCTCGAAGTCCTCAGCTCGCAAGGTATCATCCTGGAAGCCATTTCCTGAAGGCTGATGTCCCACAGCATTCGAAGGCGCATGGCCCAAAGTAGCCTGACTTGAGTTCGAAGGAAACCTCATTAGATCCGCATCAGGGAGGACATTACCAAACTGGTGTTGCGGGTAATGCTGGTATTGCTGGTATTGCTGCTGCGGCTCCACAAAGTTCGTACGCGAGGCTGGTGCCGGAACAGCAGGCGGCGTGTATATCGCTCCGGGATGCGCAGCAGGATAGTTCGGAGGTGCACGCGAATATGGAGCGTATCGCTGATTGTGCACGCTGCTCCTCGGCGCAGTCCTACGGCCAGACTGCACATTTGTCGCTACATATGGGTGGTCCGCATGTTCTCCTCGCGTATGGATGGCTAACTGTTGTCGGGGAGCAGGAGGACCAGGAGCCGGTACGGTTGCCAGAACCTGAGGCCTATTCTGCTCGCGCGCGAGTGTAGCCTCACTCAGGTACGCTGCATTTGTAATGTTGCCATGGGCATCCCGTCTTGCCCTTGGCGATCCCGGAAGAAGCGGCCGTTGTCGCCGCGGTGGTGGTGGTGTCGAGTCTGCACTGCGACGTTTGCGAGCCATCTTGGATGGTTCGATTAACAGGGAGAGGTATGTTAGTAAGGAAAAACTTGTTCATGCTAATAAAATTGTAGATGTTGACGAGCATATTATATACGCAGCGTTTTCAGCACGCGCAGTGAAGTTCGCTAGAAAATACCAACTGGGACATGGTAAGAACATCTATCCGTGGTTCAACAACGTTCAACCATAGGTGTTCCTTTTACGCTACACACAGCAAACAACATACCAATATTGTATTTTCTTGCCCTAGGAGAAACGCCTACCTGAAGCACGCGTACATGTCCCTCTCGTCTCGGCCGAAATCAGCGACTGCCTCCGTAGACCAGCTCCTCCCGCCTCGTTGCAGCCACGCTTCATGTTCCAGATTCTCCCAGATCGAATCGGCAACGGGCTCTACAGGTGGCATTAGCTTACGGTAAGCTTCCTTTGGTGCCTGGCCCGCCCGCCTATCCGCGTGCACCTTACTGTCATCCCGCGGTTTCTCCGAGCGCCCACCCCGAATTACCAACTTTGTTTCTGTAGTTCCACCGCTAGGATCAACCTTAGTTTCACTGCGCACCTTCCTAGGGCGCCCACCACGGATTACCATGTTTCTCTTGATAATTCCACCGTTGCTACCAACTCGACCATAGTTACGTTTCTCCGTGTGCAGCTTCCTGCTATCTTGCACTTCCCTCGGGGGTCCACCCCGGATTACCAGCTTTGCGACTTCACCGCTTCGACCAACTCGACCATAGTTACGCTTCTTCGCTTCCTTGTCTCGCGACTTAGCTCGCTTCTTTTCTAATTCCCGCAGAGCTCTCTCTAGCGAAGCGTTGTCCTCCTCTGGCGTTCGCGCGTCATCTTCGGACTCACTAATCCATTGATCGATGCCTAGGGGTGAGCGCGGAGAAAGTGGTGAGTCTGCATCTTCGTGGTCATGTAATTCGGAGGACGGAGAAGGGTGGCTGACTGTTGCGATGTTCATGAACTCCTCCGCTAGACCTGCCATGTCAGTACCGAGGAGGCTGTTGACTTCGTCGTCTCGTTTGCGCTGTGCTTTGCTTTGAGCGGTTAGCGGGACCTGGATATCGTTGACTTGGTCCGCTAGGTCGGTCATTTCGCTATCGCTCATTTTTGGTGGATGATGGTGCTTTTATGATTTGAATAGCCGATGCACTGGATAAAAGTGAAGATCTAAAGGAGGGCAATTACTGTGCAATATATAAGGGCAAAGAAAGTGCTAGACTGAGACAAATTGTCTCATATAGGCTGTGTTCTGTTGGTCTCAGGGCTCGGTCACTTGGCTAGGCTTCACTTTGGCGTACTTTCTAACCCCATGACAATGCAGCAATGAAACAATTACCAGTCTATTACAATCTCATATGTCCCGAAACTATCCTACACCTACTCATCATACAAAGAAAATTATATACCGTTACGCTGTGTCCCTGATCGAGAGTCCTGAGCATTTCGCCATGGTTTTACGTAGTCTCATGATGCGACAAGCCTGCGAGTAGTTGTCTCACTCAAGCATAGCTTCCACCAAACGTACTGACACTGCGGCCCATTCGCCAAGCACCCCAAAGCACCATGCCCAAGATCGCTAGGTTGGCAAACTGCCTGCAGATGACGAGCAGGAAGGTCGTAGCCAAGACCGAACTGTCCGTCCATCCGGAGGTGTCGACGTAGAGCAGGATGATATCGTAGATAATGAAGATGTCGCGGAGCCAGATGAGAGGTACCACGGTGAAAGCGAAACGAGCAAGATCGTTGCGTTCAGGTGACTGTGGAACGTTAGTGACGGAACTTGATCAGCTGCTACTAAGGGCAAGACTTACACCGTGAGCGTTCTTGTTCGTGGTACCATACTCCCTCCACACTTCGATGGAAACACTCAGACTGGCTGCGACAACGATAGCCTCGTGCACGATATACGTAATCCTCGTCGCACGGTCATGCTGCATGATGTTTGACCAAGACAACAGCGCATCCGGGCCGGAGCTACCGGTACTGATGTCTCGTGCCTCCAAACCCAGACCCCATGCTGCAACACCGGTACCTAACATGGCAACCATGATGAACGTGTTCCAGATACGCGACATGGTCTTTGGCGTCGAGATGCCCGTACCGTTCTCTTGAACGTGACTAGAATGGATCCAGACGCCGCCGTTGAGCAGAACAGTGAAGAAGATGGTCGCGAGTGTCGTCGCGAAAGTAAGCGCTGAGATGCTAGACGCGTAGTCACTGTCCGCGAGAGTGTAGCCGCGACGGCCGTTCCATCCTAGGTCCGCATCGTAGTCGATCGTTCCGCTCGTCTTCAGGACATCGGATACGAAGCGACATAAGTACGCGACGAAGAGACAGAGAAGGGCTGGCCAGAGGAAGAGGTACGTTCCCAGTGTCGTCTTTAGCGGACCATCGCGCGCGCTATTCTTACCCGGTGCGGTGAAGCGACGCTGTTTGATCCGCTGGAATGTAGGTCTCGAAGCCAGACCAAGGAAGATCAGAGCGCCGGCTGCGGTGATGACATCGAGGGCGAAAACGGCTTGGTAAGATTCTCGTTCGTTGGTGATGTTGATGTTGGACATGGCACGCTGTGTGTGATGGAGCGCGTGGGTAGTTCGACTCAGTGAAGTTGGATTGCAGCGAATTTGGGGCAAAACCCCATCTTTGAAGGCATGCGAAATGATGGAAAAGCATGCCTGATACCTATGACGTTGATTGCTGTCACCCGCTTGGCAATAAGGTGTTGGGTGGATCTGTTCGGATCTGAGTGCCGACGATGGCGGTGCTCGGCAAGGACGGCAGGTATAGCGAAGACTCGTTCTCTGACATGTGTCTCAGCTGCCACTTCCGGTACGCTGTACAAGATCAAAGACTGTGACTTGTACGGAGAAAGCGCGTAAATGGATGCATGCGTACCGACGATGCAGCCCTGGGGTGAACGACTTGTGGAGGTTGGGGAAGAGCCTAGCTGGTATACGGTTTAGTCGGCGGGAGGAGCGCGGACGCTAATGTATCGCCTAACTACTTCAGGATCTGGCAGTTCGCCTCTCGTCCCGTCCGTCATATCCGTTTTCTCGAGACATCTCCTTTTCCTGGCGCATCTAGTGTCGCGTGGCATGTCCTTCATCAAGCCTTCATCAAGGGCGGCTGTGAATTGATTGGATGCGGTGAGACGCACTGTGATGTCGATGGCGCGACACAGCCATAGGCGTTCCTCGGAGCTGTTGCACTCCACGGGGCGTTAAAGTGTGTATCACGGAGAGAATCAGTACGTTACATGACAACCAATTCATAACAAATGTAACACTACTTGCATAAACTACGGGAAGAAGTATACGAAAGCACAGATCATACAGATACAAAGGAAAGCAAAGAGAACATGTACCGGTCCAACTCCGCCGTTCCCGTCAGCACCTCACCAAGCGGACCCCAACGCCACCGCCTACTCCCCACCCAACCCCAACTTCCCCACAACACCATCCACCAACCCCCCAATACTCGCACTCTGCAAAATCTCAAACACACTAACTGTAGCCTTCGTCTCCCTCTGAATCCAATTCTTGATCTCAACAGCTACCAATGAGTCCGTCCCGTAGCTGCTCATCGAACGCCCAGCATCGAGTTCCGAGACATCCATCATTAGACTGCGCGACAGCTTCTTGAGCAGCGCAGCGAGGATGAACTCCTTAGCTGCCTCAGCAGATGGACTGGAAGAGAGCTGCGCGGAAAGGGATAGCGAAGTAGTGGTAGTACCATCATCTGACGATTTAGCAGGCGCGTCGATCTTGAGATGCGGGCGCAGGTACGGCAAGTGACTCAACACGGGATCTCTGGCAAAGAACGGCGCTTCTGCATCGGTCAAGCTACTAATATCGAGGTCAGAGTCGAGACCCGTAACGACATGTCCCATCATCGGTTCGCGAATACCCAGCTCGATGAGCGCCAACATCTCCTTCTCCTGGATGTGTTTGAACTCCTGGACTTGCACTTTGCGCCCTTGGACTTTCTTTTCGACGACATAGCCCACGTCGCCGACGATACCCAGGTCGATGGCTGTAGCGGGCAGACCGAGCGCATTGCGGTATTTGGCTAGTGCGACTTGGTAGGCGCAGCCTGCGGCGTAGTTGGATTGACCGGGGTTGCCGATGAAGGAGTGGAGAGAGGAGAGGAGGACGAAGAAATCGAGGGGCTGGGATAAGGTGGTTTCGTGGAGGTTCTTCGATCCGTGGACCTTGGGAAGGATAGTCGAAGTCCATTGATGCGAGGTCATTGTGCTGAAGAGGGAGTCGTTGAGGGTCATTGCGCCTTGTATTACACCCTTGATCGGTGGGAAGGAGCGCAGGTTTTCGGAAAGAAGGTTGGAAAGCTCGAGTGCGTCGGATACGTCACACTTCAAAATGGCAGTGCGGACGCCCGAGGCGTGAAGGGATTCGAGGAATGCTTGGGCTTCTTCTGATACTGCGCCGAAGCGGGAGATGAATATGAGGTGTTTTGCGCCGTGGGTAACGAGCCATTGCGAGATGCTTCGTCCGAGACCACCAAGACCGCCAGCGAGGAGGTAGGAAGCTGATGGATCGAAAGAGATAGCGGGTGGTGGTCTTTGAGCAACCTGAAGTTTGTTAGTCGCATCTTCGACAACGATACATGGATGGTGACTTACAAGAACTTGGTCGTTAGCCTGCGGTATCATTACCACCTGCTTATTGTGACTCGCATCTTGCAACATCTTGACAGCCTCGTTCAGCTTAGACCAAGGCAAGACATCCGCAGCGCTACGGTCGAGCATCTTCATCTCGGTGGCAGCGCTCATAGCCTCACAGAACGCTCGACTCGCAAGCTTGGGCTTCTGCGTATACAGCAACGCCATATCGACTGATGAGAAGGATGCGTTGCGGCCAAATGGTGCCATTTCCAGTCGGCCAGTCCCTGGTGCATTGAGATTTACGAATCTGCCAAAAGACGCGATGCAGCTGAACGTCGCCTGTAATGCCTCGCCAGTCAGGGTGTTCAGAATGACATCAAGACCGCGGCCTTTTGTCGCGCGCCGAAGTGCAGTGACAAACTTAAGATCGTGGCTGGAAAAGATATGGGCTTTCTCGAGGCCATAGGACTTGGCAAGGTAGCTCTTCTCTTCGTCGGATCGCACGGTAGCAAAGATCTTTGCGCCCGCCTTCGAGGCCGTCTCGATGCTAGCTTGGCCTATAGGGTCTGCGGCCTCGTGGATGAGAACAGTCTCTCCGGACCGTAGATGCGCGACGTGATTGAGCGCATGGTGAGCAGTCGCATGCGCCTGGGGCAATGTAGCTGCGACGTCAAAATCCATGCCATCGGGGATCGCGTGCGCAAAGGTTCCTGGCACGCGCACTTGGGTGGCGAATGTGCCCGGATACCATGCTACCACTCGATCGCCAACCGAAAGGTCCAACACTCCATGACCAAGCTTTGTGATGACACCCGCACACTCTTGTCCAAGCTTGCCATCGTAGTCGTCTCCATCCAGCACCTCGACGTCGCTGGAGCTGAGACTGGTAGCGCGAATCTCGATTTCGACTTCGTCAGCTTTGATAGGTTGCGCAAAGCGCACATCCTCCTCGAATACGGCCACGTCTGACGTGCTTTTGTTGACATTACTGAACGTCAGCGGACGACCATTCTGAAGTACGTTCTCCATCTGCGGCCGCAAAGCCGTCGCATCAGTCCGACCAACCAGGAACTCATTCGACTTCTCATCTTCAATCGCACGCTTAATGTTAAGAACGCCACCCTGCTCAACAAATTCGTTATCGACCAGAGTAGCGCTCTTCACAGTACTGAGCTGTTTCTCATAGATGCTGAGAAGCAACTCGGCGACCTTGAGAGCAGGCAGGTTCGTCCTGGCATCTAAATCGACTGTGACGCACTTGAAGCTCTCGTTCTCAGCTCGCAACGTACGCGCAAGGCCTTGGAATACGGCAAGTTCAGGACGTTCAACATCCGAAGACGCCGCGCCTCGTGTGACCCAAATCAAACCTGCCGATGCATCCGCGATGTGTTGGAGGGTCTTCATGTCTTCTGAAGTGGGATCGGCGAGCAAAGGCTCTTCAAGCTCGACAAAGCTGACGCAGATGGTATGAGCGAGATCTTGTTGGTCAAGCTTGGAGAGAGTCGCGAGCTGTGCTTGGAAGCCAGCTTTCTCCAGGCTGCTCTTGAGGGCCAACGGCATGTCCAATCTGCTCATCCGGATGCGTGAGTCGGCACACAAGATAACGAAGCGTGGTCTTTCTGGCGGAGTAATCACACCGTTCGAGAGCGTCGGCTTTGCTTCAATCGCAGTTGCAATCATCAGCCTTGTA